CTAAAATAAAAAAATTTGCTATTTGTAAAGGTAAGTTTTATTTATAGGTAATAAAAACAATAACTGTTTAAAAAACGATGTTTTTGATTCTTGAATTTTGTTTAATATAATTAACTTATTTCAAATATTGTTTTTTGTGATCTATTTTGTTTCAGTTTGTTTAGTTCTGTTGATAAATTATAATTTATGACAAGTTTTACATTTTTTGGACATATTTTAGTTATTTATGTGTCTATTTTGCAGAAATAATGCATTCTGAATTGATTATTATTATTATTGTTATTACTTTATTCATTCCTAATTTATTATGAGATTCAGTGATTATATAGCTAACATGTTTTATTTATATTTGAATATATATATATATATATATATATATATATATATATATATATATATATATATATATATATATATATATATATATATATATATATATATATATATATATACCCATATAGTGTAGTCGAAAGAGCGTTTTAATGTAAAAAAAGTCTCTTACGACTACAATTTTAATTACCTCGTCTCTTAAGCTGTTTTTGATTGTCATCGAAATGTCAAAGCAATTAATTTATGCGGAAGTACATTAAATTTTATTGTTTTTTAAAAAATTTTCAAAAAACCGCAATTATAACGACTAGAAAGTTTTTTTTAATTAGTGGTGTTTTTGTTATTGATTTAATAAAAAACATTTTTAAAACATGCGTAAATGTTGCTACATCGACTATCTTATAGCCTGACTCGCAACGGAGTGCTGCTACATCGACTGACAAATAGCCTGACTTGCAACGGAGTGCTGCTACATCGTCTAACAAATAGCCTGACTCGCAACGGAGTGCTGCTACATCGACTGACATATATATGACAAATTGAAAAAAAAAATTTTAATCGGGATACCCTAATGTCATATTGAGCATCTGAAAGTATATTGCATAGGCCATAAACTTTGGATTGTGACATGCGCTAGGCTGATAGATGTAAAAACTATTTAATTTCTCATACTTAACGTTCATGTAATTCGTCAAATATTAAATCAGGTATATATATATATATATATATATATATATATATATATATATATATATATATATATATATATATATATATATATATATATCATTATATATATATATATATATATATATATATATATATATATATATATATATATATATATATATATATATATATATATATAATATATCAATATATATATATATATCATTATATATATATATATATATATATATATATATATATATATATATATATATATATATATATATATATATATATATATATATATATATATATATATATATGTATATATATATATATATTAATTATATATAATATACATATATATATATTTAACAACAACGCCACGGCCGCATCGACTATCTTATAGCCTGACTCGCAACAGAGTGCTGTTGCATCGACTGTCCATATTCATCGATAGTCCATATTTGATTTATTACAACTTCATAAAATAAAAGCTCAGTTATTGCTCCAGGTTTTGAATTTAGGAATAAATTGTTATAATACTATAAATTAATATTATAAAGTTAAAGATCTGTAAAACAATTATTCAAAATAATGGCAAAATATCAGCTTTTAGAGTCGATTTCACAAAGTTGAGTAAAAAATCGATGCAAAAAGTTTTTTTTTTAATTTTTTAAATTTGTAAATAAAGCATCCACAAGATCTTTTATTGGATTTCATCAAGTTTAAGAACCAAACAGCAAGTGTCATAACAAACTGTCTATTGAAATGCCTTGAATGTTACGGTTTGAGGACAAATGTTTAGCACATAACCTCATTTATTAGTGTAGGAACCAGCCTTAATGTAGTGTAAAATTCTAAATTTGCTACATGATAATTAAAGAGTTATCAAAACCCTTATAAACGACATGATATAAATTACTGCCTGGAGATGAAATAAATGGTATTAACAATTTTCAAATTCCTTTGGATAAATTGTATGCACTTTTTTAGCAATCTCCCAAAAATCAAAGAAAATCGGAGTTATGCGCAAAAATTTTAACTGAAATAAGAAGAACTGGTCTAGTGCTAGGTGTCACTTGGGTGGGAAGACAAGTTAAAATAGAGGCTTAAGTTAATCAAATTTTTGAAACTTTGTGTGCACATTTCCAACAAGCCAGTAATGATAATAGTAGCACAATAACATAGTATCTTGGTTCATATAAACATATTTTGTCTGAAACATTTTTATTAAATTTAACGCTGATGTACGGCGTCCATTATGAGTTATTATTATTATCAGAACGATCATAAAACCGATGTACTACATTTATCCATGCAGACAAAAAATTTCGTCGAACCTCTAGGTCCCTAGAAAAATATTGAAAAGGGCAATAAAATAACTACTATTAAAAGTAACAGTAAAATATATGGCTTTAGTTGAAACTTGTTTTTACAAAGTAAAAAGTGTTAAAAGTATTAGTCACAGACTAATCACATGTTATAAGTTGTTTAAATCAAATATCATATAAAAATTTCGAATTTCGGAAACTATAGATCGGCTGATTAGAAACTATAGAATGATATTTCCTTCTCTATGAAATTTAAATTGTCGTCCAAAAAGTTAATAACGAGTTTAGGCGCTACTTAAATGGTGGAGGAAAAAACAAACCTTGAGACTACATAAAGTAGTTGCTAACATATTCAAAACCAAGACTCAGCTCTTCTGAGTATGAAAGAGGTTTAAGCAACATGAATCTAGTTCTGAACGACAGCAGAAACCGATGCTTGATTGAAAAGTTAACAATTTATTATTTCTTAAAATGCATGGGCCACCATAAGATATGTTTGATCCCGAAAAATATATTTGAGCTTGGTTGTAAACGCATAACTCTGCTGACGACAATAAAACTAGAATATCTGCAGCAGCTAAATTCTCATTTAATTCCGTTTGAAATTATTGTAAGATGTTTCGTGGATGTATCGGAAAAAATAATTAAAAAATGTTAACTTCTATTTTACATTTAATTTTACCAACCTAAATATTTTACTAACCTTAATATTTAATATAATAATTTTACTAACCTTAATATTCTACTAATATTTTAATTAACATTAGTATATATATATATATATATATATATATATATATATATATATATATATATATATATATATATATATATATATATATATATATATATATATATATATATATAATTTTTTTTTCTCTTTTTTTTTTTTTTTTTTTTCGCTACTTTTAGAAAGTCCAGGTACTTCTCCTTCCAATTAGAAAACAAAAAGTTTACATAGTTTTCTGTAATCAATCCAAACAATTGTTATAGGGCTAGGGCTTCTTTTCCAAACTCCAGAGCTTTCTTAGCTGTATCATAAAGGGGTAACCCAGCTTGAAGCTGACTCCAATTAAACCTTATAAGGTTTATTATTTTGTCCACCATTGGTTAAACACAAGCCTTTCCTTGGACCTTTCATCTACTCTCCAGTCAAAGTTCTGTTATGATGTGTGCTTCAAGCATATATCTTCTGCAATGAAACCATATAAGTGGAATATGATTAATATCAAAAACAGCAACAATAAAACGAAATATATTTACCAGAAATATTGATGTTATGAGCATGTTATAAATTACAAATAATATATGTACAGACTACATTCTGTATTGTTGACTCTTATATTGTCTCGATAATTCAAGGAGAGCAACCATAATCAAAGCAAAAACAAAACAAATACTCTAATACACATACAGAAGGTTGCTATTAGTCAAAATTGATATTTGTTTTACCTTAAATATATTGTATGGTGATAAATCTTTTATTACCAACGATACCATTGTTGTTTTTATTTATTTTGATGTAACAAGTAACATTTTAGTTTAATTTTGAGGACAAATTTTTTAATGTAAAAAGGAACTGTTTTAAATTTTTGATTGCAGTCTACTAATTTTTGAATTATCTATCTAATTTTTAATTGCAGTCTATTTCAGAGTTTTTAAAGGAATGTTTACAGTAGGATTTTGTATTATATGTTTGCACACTCAATGTACCTCAGCAAGAGTTTCTTGTTTGTTAACGGCTAATTGTACTGCGAAAGTTACTCCTTATTGAACATAGCATGTAGCTTTTTGTTTAGGCAGCTGTAAATAAATAAATAATATTCAGTTTTCACTATGTTATGTACTTTTAAAATTTGTAATGTCTTAAAAGATGCAAATATATCGAAATTTTTTGCAAAAAAATCAATTACCCTGACTTCTTTTTTCTGCGTGATAAATAGACATTTCACAATACTTGTGTTTAAACTCTATGATAAAAAACAATACGTGAGAAGTAAGTGAAAGAAAACATAGTAAATAAATTTTAAAGTTTTTTGTTGTGTGAAATGTCTAAGCTTTTGTTGTGTAAAATGTCTGAGCTTTTATTGTATGAAAGGTTTAAGATTTGACGGAATGGCAAATTTTTTTTTGTGGCAGATATATTATAATAGTTTTAAACAAAGATATCATGATCATCAAGTTATTAGGTTTAAAGATAATTATGGGGTATTGCCACGAGATCGTTATCTTTTTTGCTATCCTTTGTAGACTAGTTTTGGAGTATCCCTACACAAAAACAAATAGTAATCTGCAAGCATAGTCTCATTCTAACAACCCTAATATCTTTGTAACATTACAGAAATAACTTGGTGAAACCTTTACCCGTGTTCATCACTAACAGCTCCACAGTAGGGTGGGTGGGGGGGGGGTATGGTGAAAAAGACTAGGTTTACGTAGAGGAAATGAATCTTGAGGGACATGTTACATCCAAGTTGATGGTATTTTTGCAGAAGTTTGTTACCAATTGAATATAGTTAGCATCTCTTTTGTTGCCTTAAAATCCACAAATCATTTCTTCCAAGTTTCCTTTTCTTGCCCCTTCAAAACTTCGTCAAAGGCAGGATCCTTTATAAGCTGACGTATTTGCGGTCAAACAAAAATACCCTCTTTAACTTTTGCATCACT